TACTAAATCTTGCACATTATATAGGCTACACTAACGTGACGTTAAGGCGGTTCGTTTAACTATTATACGTGATGTACGTTTATTGGGGGGTGGTTAATGAAAGTGTTCCAAAACGCGACATTAATTTCTTGACGACCTAATACTATGTGAAAGAAAGCAGCGATATTTACCCCTGGCAAGCTAGGTAATAACTTGATGTTATAACTCCTTTCATTTTTCGATGGGTATGACCAACAGTAATGTAAGTATCACACGCGCTCTAGGAAAGAGTAGGATTATTGTTATATGTATATAATGCCATGTTTTCTCAGTCTGAGACAGCTTTTTAGCTTTTTCTGGATTTTTTTTTTCACCGATTTTCAACCGATCTTTCTGAAAGGCGCGGTCCTTCGTCACAACCGTCATCTTTAATTGTGATTTGTTGAAATAAGTAAATATTGTTTCACATTGGTATACATGGTGTCCATTCTTTTAATTGTTTACAATTCAGTCAAAGTCGGAGAATAAAGTTTAACGTTGCATGACATTTTCTCCTGTTAATTTGCACATCCTACGACAGGAAACTATAGTTTGTTATTGGAAACACGAATTATATATAAATTGTATTAAACCACGAAAACTAAGGAACCAGTAAATGAAAATTTTGAAACAATTGTGTTATATACGTACGTAAAGGATTTGTTCATGACAAAATATATGTCGGAGTTTGACCCAATGATTACAGGGGCCGGACGGTGACTCCAAGGGTCCAATGTTCGCGTCCTGTTGCCGCAAAAAATCGCTCTCCGTACTTTAAGCCATGGATGCGTTATGTAATCCTCTGTAACAAGGAAAAAAAAAGCCAAAAACTTTCGAGGTTTGAATAGTGAGAATTTTCTCTTACCTTGTACTGGGTGATGTTTCTGGTTCAATACTTGTACGCAACCACTGCCACTAGATGTCGCTTGCTTTGCACTGCTATCTACCGAGTCTGGCATTATTCCACGGTCAGTAGAGTCTGGTAAAATATAGATGGAAATAAACGTTTATTTGAGAAAATGAGAATGTTGACAATTTATTTACATTTTGGAAAAATCCAAAACTATGACATTACACTAGTCTTATGTACACATAAAATGATATAGTAAACATTTAAGCCTATTTGACGGATAATTATTTAAAGTTAATATAAATTCAAAATCTTAAATAGAATGCGGTATTCCAAGGTTAAACCATGCACACATTTAACTTATCTTTGCAAAAACAAGAGATTTGTGGGCCTAATATGCAGAAAAACAAGTTTTGTTTCGTTTTTAATTAAGCACAAAGCTACACAATGGGCTATCTGTGCTCTGTCCATCGCGGGTATCGAAACCCGGTTTCTTGCGTTGTAAATCCACAGACATACCGCTGTGGCACTGGGGTGGGGGCAGAATAATAAGTGCAGGCCCTCTAGTGGCACAGCGGCATGTCTGTGGACTTGCAACGCTAGAAACCGTGTTTCGATACCCGTGGTGGGCAGAGCACATATAGCCCTTTGTGTAGCTTTGGGCTTAATAAAAAACGCAAAAAACAAGTGCAGCAAGTGTAAAGAAGAATTTTTTGGTTTTTGTTAAAGAAAAAGTTACACAATGGGCTGTCTGTGCTCTGCCCACTACGGGTATCGAAACCCGAATTTTAGTAGCAGGATAGGAAATGAAATAAAGATGAACATTTTCTATATTGCAGTTAGGCTGTTGCTTTGTGGAATAAAAAAATTTAATCAAAGAACAGAATGAACTCTATTGAAATAAAATAATAAATGGAAGTAAACTGTGTTTATATAAAATAAGATAAAAATTAACTTTACTTGATTGAACTAAAGTGAATTGACTAGTAAATTTAAAAAAAGGCACACACACCCACACGATCAGCGAACTTAACGCTGTAAATACTAAAACAAGGACAAGACTTCACCAGTATGTATTAACCATTTAACCCCCTACTAACTAACTAACGAAATAACAAAGAACTTGGCAGGTATTTTGGTTTTAAAATCTAACATGTCCTCAGAAGGGGCTTGAAAGACAACAAGGGCGCCCAGAAACCGTTGTTTCTCTTCGTCCCACTTGTGAAATTACGGTTGACTCTTTTCGTGAATGGAATAGGTTATTCAGCTAGTGGTTTGGATTTTAATTGACTGAGTTAAGATTTACTAGTGGTTAAAAGTTATTGACTCATGATTTGTTGGGTGGTTGGATATGTCCAGAGTGTGAAGTCGATAAATTCGACAATTTGGCGTGGGAAGAAATTCGGGGATAATCTGTCCAAGATTACCGAGTATACTGGCGGGCTACTAAATTCGGAATGAAAAAAAATCATTTAACCCTTTCAGACCCCCAAAACTGCCCCCACATTACACAGTCTCTGTGTAGCTGACCAATCACAATTATTCTAAAATACCTCTGCTCCATGTGGCAGTTACAGATCAGTTTCACATGCACGTGGCACGTGAGACACAATGAAATATATCAGGAAACAGCAGAAAGAAAAACAACATTTAGGGTTAAATTGTTATAAGACCTAGACCGGACTTAGCATATTCCGAATTAGAAAATGTTATAGATATGAAGATATGCTAAATGAGAGGTGAGGTATGTGGTGTATGCATACCTTAAGAATACTCTTAAATTTGAAAGTTAAGGGTTCACGGTAACACTAAACTTTTACAGCAAACTGGTGTTAAAACAGCAGAAACGAGGATTGTTTACAGTGCACTTATGACCCAATTTCCATAAAAAACAACAACAAAAAACAAGAGGGAATCCTCAATAGCGCGGCACTTGAGATTCGTTTTAGGCAGGATTAAAAGTAAATTAATCTATGAGATCTTTTTTCCCCCTTTTTATTAGCTATATTTTTGTGCGCCAGCAATACCAAGCGTGGGGCGCACGTATACCCGATTCACTTTTATTACTCATCAGGATATCTCTACCAGACTGAAATTCTTTAAGGCAGGATTAGAATAAATTAACCTACGAGGACTTGGGCATGGTCAAATAAAACAATCGAAAGGGTTTGACCTCCTAAGTCCAAAACTGTAATTAGATCTCAAATCGGTCAAGAGATGACGGAGCTATGAAGTAAACAAAAAACTCAGAGGCATTCCATTCTAAAAATTAGCAATGGAAGCAATAAACAAGACATAGTTTCTGAATTTGTTTTTTTTAGATATTCTAATTTCCATAAACTCTGTCTTACATCGAGGAAAAAAGCAATGAAAAAATAAACATTAAATGTAGAGAGAACACTAACAATATATAGATTAGTCTTTGAATGACGCAGTCTTTATCTTTCTACCGCAGATAATCACTATTTATATTTTAATTATATTATTTTATCCTGAAATGAGTCATTATCTAAATTTATGCCCCTACATCCATCATTTGTCATTTTAAGTTCTGTTTTTATGTGATGATTGTTTTTACATGTAAAGTAAACACAATTGCAACTTTATAGGTTGGCTGTAGATTGGTATGTACGTTGCAGGTTGCAGGTTGGAATCCCCTTCCCAACAAACATGCTCGCCCTTTCAGCCGGGGGGAGGGGGGGTGTTATAATGAGATGGTCAATCCCACTATTCGTTGGTAAAAGAGTAGCCCAAGAGTTGGCGGTAAGGGTGATGACTAGCTGTCTTTCCTCCAGTCTTTGACTGCTAATTTAGGGACGGTTAGCCCAGATAGCCCTCGTGTAGCTTTGCACGAAATTGAAGAAAGAAACAAACAAACGTTGATATACGGTATATATATATGTAAACATGTGGCTGTGTGTCAAGGACACCTCAATAACGTATTTCCAAAAGACATGCAAACACTATCGTATTTCAAAATTAAAGTATTGAAAACTCGTGTTACGTTTCACATACGTGTCTACCAGGTGCAGCTGTGTTGTTTAAACGTGTTGTGTGTGTGTTACTGTTGTTGTTATGTTTTGCTGGATTTCATAATAATTTGTTTTTTCTGTTATCCATAATATGCTCGTGAGTGTATGTGAAACGAAAAGAGGTTTTGTACGTGATGTCACTAAACTTCTTGTTTCATTCGACGACGCCATATTGTACTTCAAATATTCTCTTTTGATAATCCATATCAATCCAAGAATCGGTAAAACTATACACGTTGTCAATGGCACAAGCATGTCTCTGGCAAAAGATACGAACTAGAAACTCTACAGATGTCCAGTTTCTCAATGTACCTTTCTTCCTGTCCATCACTAAGGTGATTTACTGGGTCAGAAAACATCATGTTAGAAGTTATGTTTCACCTAAGACTAATCTAAGCACTTGACGCCCAATATGGCGGAGTAAATTATAGATAGTGTGACTTTTTTGACACATATTATAAACTTCAACAGTTGGGTCACATATAGCAGTTTGTTCGATTTCTTCCTAGGTGTTACTCGAGTTGCTTTTGGTGTTTGTTAAGCCTCTTTAAGCTCATTAAACACATAAGAAAGAAGCTAGCTTATCAATACGTGTGATAACATGTTTGGTAAATCTAAATGGAATACATGTGTCCTGTTTTAAGATCTATTGCATTTTACATTCTAACAATCTATGAAGGTTAAGTTATATGTAATTGTAAAAAAAAACACGCAAAAACGCTCCTAAAACCGTAAAACTGAAAATTTGTATGTACCCCCCCCACATGCACCTAATGAGCCTCCATACCAATACAAACATACAACAGATAGTACTATTATATTTATATAGATTTAGTTACAATCAGCAGTCAGTAA